GACGATGCCTGCAGGAGGCAAAGCAATGTAAGCCAGACCCCCGCTCCCCCAGCAGCTGATGCTGCCTCGCTGTGCCAGTACAGCTCTCGGTGGGGCTGCCGCACGAACCACATCACTGACGCGATCCAAGTTAAAAACAACCTTCGGCATAAAACAAAACAAGAACTCTGATGGTTATTTTTAACCCAGATCTTTTTGCTGATCTGCTTTGCAGCTCTGCGCTGCAAATAGTTTCACTGGCGAAATGAAGGAGGAGCTGAAACGCAGTGCAGTTGCGGGAATGACGGAGCAGGCGTGGCAGAAACTCCACCACTGAAGCCGGGGTCTCACGACACCACGTTTTCACATTACTGGAGCTTAGGATGCTCCTGATTTCTAGCAGCAGAACTCTGGTCTCCTTCACTATGAACTCCTTAACATTTGCTCTCTTTAAAGACAGCTTTAAAAAAACAAGACTAAACCAACCAACCAAACAAAAGGTCCTGGTAACGGCTACTTTTTGTGAGCTTTGTATACAGCCACATACTCCCCTCTGTAGGAAAACCCGGGCTGATTTGTCATCCCAGTGGCTCCCGTTGTTGTCCCCCGGTCAGAGCCACTACAGCAATCCACCATCACTTCACAGGTGACGCTCTGCGATGCCCAACATGGCTAATGTGCATAAGGGCAAGTGGCCATCAGAGACCTAGAGCAGCCAGCACCATCTCGCACACTATGTCTGAGGTTCTCTGGTGGTGTGAACAGCCCCAACGACGAAGCTCCTTTATGTTTGTTATGTTCAACTGTAGCTATATTAAAAACTCCTAATCGTAAGTTTCAAGTCAGAGATCTTATTAATCACCACCCTGAGAACATTACAGTGATGAGCTGCCAAAGGCATGAGCAAATCACTAATTACCAGCTTTAGATGCTGCTCTTCAAAACTTGATTAGCTACAGATACACAGGTGATAATTCCTACTGTCTTCTTTATAGCGCATCCTCACTATTATCCACTCTAGTCTGATTTAGGTTATTAGAATTATGCTAATTAAGTAATCCCACACACAGAATGCTTCATGATGGATATGATTATGTGAGTTTAGAGGATGATTAATATCACAAAGTGTACTATCAGCGTCGGAGAAACTGGTGAGGGATGTACACACAAAAAGAAGGAACTCCTTGTTGCTGCTGTACATCCTAACTGTGAAGTGACAAAAAGGAATAAAAAATAAGTGGAGGATTAATAACCTTAACTTTTTAAAAAACATAGTAAGAAAATGTAGATGATCAATTGAATCTGTCCTCTGAAGGGCTGAAATTACCCCTAGGAGTGAACCCATTTCAAGCATGTTACCAAGAGCAGAATTTGCCCCTTCCGAAAGCCAAGAATAGTCCTCATATACTCACCAGGCAGACGGTCCCACTGCCCTTCTCCACCATCCGCCCCATATCTGAACGCTCAGTGCATCTTTGGATGCGCTTATTCCATAATACATGAAATAAAAAGGAGCCTTACACGAGCCTCCGCTCTCCCCAGGAGCCACATCACGGCAGTGTTACAGCAGCAGGCGGTTCTGCTTCCATCTTGCACTCCCGTTCCGTTTTGGGGACGCGCTCAGACGAGCCCAAAGCTCCAGCCGCATCCCCAGCCAGCACTCAGGACCCTTGTGCCGTCTTTGAAAGGGTTTCTGTCCACCCGTGCGTGCAAGCCCTGAAGTGTGCATGTACTCTCGCTGTTGCCCAATGATGTTTTGTTCTCAGTTATTTCTCACAACCCACATTTAGATCCAAACTGTGCTGGATTAACCCGTTCAGAACATCCCTTCACTGCAGCGGGAGCATTTCAGTTCTTCCTTCAGGGGAAAAAATGCACTTCCAACCACAATGAAACCAAATTAAGAAACAAACTCACCAAAAACGTGAGGGCTGCCAGGAATACCTTAGTTATCCACAGAGGTTAAAATTTTATTTTGATATAAAAATTAAATAGCAAAGGTTTTGGTTTGGTTTTTTTTTTACAGTGATAAATTAGAAATTTACAGTACATACATCAAAGTAGATATATTTTCTGTACACCCCAAAATAATCAGCATCTATTTCCTTAAAATTCAGAAAAAGGAGCTAGCCTGCCTGTTTAACATAAGAGCTAAGCTTGTACCTCTCCAGCAGATGCTTCCGAAACCTGCCGTGAGAAAAGCACATGCCGGGGCAGGGAGAAGGGAGCACGGACTGCGCGAGCAAGGTAACTGCTGCAAAGTTTTTAGTTGTATAACCGCAGCAACTGCACTTCCGAGACAGGATTAGTCACACATTTTTTGGCTTTAAATTCATAACAACGTTGAAACGAGAGAACATAAGAGTTGCAGATAGCCTAAAACCTGGCGGTTGAGAAGAGCGGGTATCATCTGCTGCGACTTCCCACTCACACAGCCCTGAAGTGGAGCAAGGTAAATGCACGTGGATGAATACATTTAAGGAATGGTTTCAACACTACAACAGCTGATCTCACTTTGGGTTGGTACAGTGTCCCCCTGAATGCCTGGGAAAGATGTTCCTTCAGGAACAGCAGCTGGTGTCTCTCCCTAACCCACCTCCTCCCCATAGTATTTCAGTCCCTCACACTCTTTACTGGAATATCCCCCAGGTCCCTCATGGGGCTATGCAGTGCTATCCTCATCCAACTCACTTCCAACACCTCACATCACTGGGGACATCCGCCTGCGACGCTGTGGACTGTGACAGATGGAGATGCTGGGATCTGATAACGAGGTACTACTTAACATTCACTTCTGTGTACATAACACGGTTAAAAATGCCATTTATTGAATCAGTCAGGTCAAACATGGGTCGGGTGGGCCAGAAGAGTATCCAAACTGCTTCAAAGTGAAGGACACTTGAGTGAACATGACACCTTGGCACAGCCCAATGCTAGGTTACAAGACAAGGCTCCTACTATGTCCTCACTCCTTGAAAGCCAACATACAGCTGCCGACTTTATATCCCTCGCTGCGCCAGGAGAAAGATCGCACAACGGAGAAGCTTGGCCATTCTCCTACTTGCAGAACTCCTTGTCCACAGAAGAATAACCAGATCCAAACACAGCACTAATAGCGAGAGACTTTATGGAGAGGATGAAAAGGCTCGGCTGGTATGCGGTGTTGGCCAAGACAATGCTTGTGCGTCTTGAGCAGAATGTGTCAAGTTGTCACTTGTTCTGCTGGAGAGGGAGCCCAACCGCAAAGACTGCAATTAGGGTTTGCTTGGGGTTTGGTGTTTTTTTTTTTTTTAAAAAAAAGAAGTGCTCTAGCACATGTTTCAGCATTGACATTGAAACAATATACGCTTCTGGGACAGATTAGCACTCTCGGCCAGAGCTGGAGCGAGTTGTGGTTTGGGAAGCCCATGGGGCACCTGTGTGAAAAGCGAGCAGTGTAATAAAGCAGTGCCTGTTCTCAGCTGCCCTCAAAGGTCGTGCGAGTCAGGGCACCAGGGGGATGCTCCACAGCTGACCAGGTTCCACACAAATGAAGCAAAAGTTTAGGGCACACAAATAAAACTGAAGGTCCTTCAAAGGAATAGAACATCAGAATAGCGTTCTTTTAAGTGCTTCTGGGCTATTTCTATTTGTGTCACCTTTCTTATTAGCCAAACCAGCCACCGACACAAGGTTCAAGCTCCCCACAAGCACAAGCCAATGCCTCCTCAAATAAAAGTATAAGAAACCTCAACAGCTGCTATGAAACAACACTATTCACCAAGAAGTTGGATCTCTTCTCTTGGGATCCCTTTACAAAAACTGGAAATGTCTCGTCGTTCCTGAGAACTGAATGCCTGCTCATATTCTGCATGTAAATATATGTTAAAAAAAAAACCTCCATAGCTGTCAGCAAGCAATTGGAGCATCGTTGTGAGGCAGTCAGCTGTACTGCGATGTCATGGGCTGAGAATGTTCTTTTAATTGTAACTGACACACATAATTATACAACTGATCTGTGTGAACATGAGGTTGCCAAGGAACTTAACATTTCACTTCTCCCCAGACTGGCGTCTGCAGAGATACCATCGCACTGAATGAAATATATTAAGACTTAATTGCTTCATGCAATGGGTCTCCAGAGAGAGCCAGATAAGTTTACTTGGAGAAAATGGGCATTGTTTGAAGAGACCCTCAACTCATTTTTCTCTTTCCTGGAGGAATGAGCACTATAATGTAAGACTTTATTTAAAGCTATTAAATGCAGCAGAATAAAGTAGTCCACTGGAAAGAGCAGGAGCACCTGAAGGAATGGAGGCAGACGGATAACGATAATTGATGCAGAAGACCATACAGTGTCCCAGCTCCCACTGACAATGGCCTTCAGTAAAGCTTTAAAGAAATTAGAAATATTCATAGAACCACAGAATAATTCAGGTGGGAAGGGACCTAGAGAGGTCCAAATTCCTACAAGGCAGAGTCAACACTCAATTCAGACCAGGTTACAGACAAGAAAAAGAATGAGTCAAAATTATTATTAGACCACCAGATGACTTAATCATCCTCACTAAATCCTTCTCATCACGGGTAACTCTCAGACCTGGAAAAGTCCACTTGGTATTTGTTGGAGGACCTGATCCTTGGCTGACCTGTGCAGCATACGGGAGCAACAGAATTCCCCAGGGCATAAGGACACAACCCTCGGCAAGTGCTTCCTTCACGATGCTGAACTCGGAAAGAAGACATCTAACTGAGGTTCTGGGTACTCCATCTTCTGATAACTGGACCCTAAGTCAGCCCAGCATTTGGCCCCAGACTGCCTTTCCTCCATCAGCTATAAGACCATGAAAACAAAACAACATCCCACAGCTGTGGGCTACAGTCCCTCAACTTCTAAAGACTTCAGTATATTGCATCCTGCTTTAAAAAAAAAAAAAAAAAGAAAAAAGGAAGATAACATGTTTGGATATTTCACAGCTTTTAAAGCCTCCCTAGGCTTTCCTATTTTGGGCAGCATGATTTATGGCTATTGCATCTGCAGCATGATTTTTTGCTGTTTATTCTTTAAGGCTTTTTCTTCCATCCCCCAGAGACAGGTTGTGTAACCGTCTCCCTACTCTACTCCCCACATTTACACAGCAATGCTTACACGTGGTCAATCCTTCACGGGAGAGCAGTCAGACCATCTGGGTGTCGTCCTTTTCTCATACCACGGTCTCGTTCCCTTTCCCAGGTTTCACCCAACCATCTGCTCTCTTCTCCCGTTTCACTTTCCCTGAGTTCACCAGTCTGTTGGAGCACTTCTGCCATGTGTGCAGAGTTTTGGCTGACCAGATCCACATACCTGACGTAATACCCACCAGGAGGGACATGAAGATTTTGAGCATCTCCACTGCCATATTGGAATCATCTGCCGAATAGCGGAAAATGGCCCAGTTGGAGATTTCGTAGAAATAACAGGCGATGACACACGTCGCTGGGACGGTGTACAGCACTGAGAAGACGCCGATTTTGACCATCAGCCTTTCCAGTTTGTCAGTTTTAGTTCCATCTTTTTGAAGATTAGACCTGATTTTAAATAAGGCCACGAGTCCCGCTGCAATGAATAAAGTCCCAATGACCAGGTAGGTAAAAAGCGGAGCGACGACAAAGCCCGTCAAAGCATCTAGGTTCTGGTTCCCAACGTAGCACAGACCGGTGAGCTCATCTGCGTCTACTAGTCTCATAATCAAAATAACGATGGTCTTCACTGCGGGGATAGCCCAGGCTGCAATATGGAAATAAGAACTGTGCATTTCTATAGCTTCATGGCCCCACTTGAGTCCTGCAGCCAGAAACCATGTCAATGTGAGAATAACCCACCAGATGGAGCTAGCCATCCCGAAAAAATACATCAGCAAGAAAATTATAGCACATCCTGTGTTCTTAAGACCTTCTTGGATAAGAACAGGTTCTGCTGCCTCTTCAAAATCACAGGATATCCTTTCCCGGCCCACAGTTAGCCTCACAATATAAGCAATGCTATAAATATTGTAGCACATGCTCAAAAATATGATTGGGCGCTCCGGGTAGGAAAATCTGGATGAATCAATCAGGAAGGTCAGGACTGTAAAGGCAGTTGAGATGAAGCAAAGACTGGCCCACACAGCCATCCAGATATCCGTGAATTCCTTAGCTGACCTGCTGTAGAGACCGGCGTCGTAGCCACACTTCAGGACACAGTTCAAGCTTCTCTTCACCCAGATGTACTGATCCGAGTTAGATCCCATGCTGTGGCACTCTTCTCCAGGCTGCAAGGAGGTCTTGCTGTGAAGGGGAACCTCTTCATCCCCTGGACCCTCCATGCACATGTGGTTGTGATCGTTCTGGGGTGGGAATTTGCTGCAGTTTAGGCTGTCTGGCCAGGCAAAGCCAAATTCTTTTAAAACGGGTTCACATCTCCTTTTGACAGAGAGGCACATGCCACCGCAGGGACCTATGGGGATGTTAATCTTCTCCGTGCACATCGGGACATAGACCGAACAAAGGAAGAACTGGAAGAGAGAAGCAGAAATCACAAGTGTGTTAGGGGAAAATGAAACAGGTTATAGCGTAACACTTTTTTTTTTTTGCCTTTTTAGCAATAATATTTGGTACTTTGCCTTAAAAAACAGGAAGCAGCATAAAACAAATAAACCAAGAAGAATAAAAACAAAGGAGAAAAAAAGACCAACCTAAAAATGTTGTCTTCTTTCAGTTCAAATGTGGTCCAAAGCCAAAGCCTGAACATTTTCTCCCTAGATTAGCTCCATGTAAATTTAGCCCATCAGTTTCAATAAAGCCAGTGGGATTTAGCCAGATCTAAACCTCAAGGGTGCAATTTAGGAAAGCAAAAAAACAAATTGAAGCGGTTTAAACAAATACATATATTTGTTCTGGGCACTGCCTGGCTATCGCAGCTAACAAACAAACAGAAGAAAAGGCATTTATTGAATTACTTCGGATCACGATCCTCCCAGAAGAATGTGTTTTTCTTTTACCATAAGGTCACAGGCGTATTTACAACCATAGTCAAACGCTGCCGATTTCTCGGCTTTTGAATAATCGCAAATCTGCGACGCGACAACGTAAGCGGGATTGCGTGCTAATTCGGGAACTCTGCCCCAAGAAACAAGCTGTTTTTTGTTTGATGAAATCAATGCCCGTGGGGAGGACAAGGATCTATGTCGTTCGCCTGGGAAAGAAACTCCTGCGGTGAACCTCCGGAGGAGGTCCGGAGCGGGCAGCGGCTCCCAGAGCCAGCTCCGTCAGCTTCTCCTTTGAGAGGGGCGCAGCACCTCGGCTACAGCAGAAACGGGAGCGCTGCGACCGGGCAGAGCCCCGGGAACCCCAGCTTTCCCCGGCGGCAGGGCAGGGCAGGACCGCGCCGCTCCCC